CAGCCTTGAAGGTGCCCAGCAGGCCCCTTGCACTTCTCATCCATTTCCAGTGTCCTGGGCCAAGACCTGGGTCAGCCGTCTGCTTGAGTTCCTGCAGGAAAATGGCCAATTAAGACAGACGGACACTTACACCAACAATAGAAGAAGGAACATTTAATTGTCGGGCAGAACTCAGGTGCCCCAAGACATGGAAAGCTGAGTTCTAGGGAACAGTTTTTTTCCAACCTCTTTTATACCTTTTTATCTTTCAGTTCAAAATTAGCTAGCGATGGCTACAGATGTTAGAAACTAGGGTTCTGTTAATAGTTAGAGTCTTTTTTTTTCCTTTTTCTTTTCAAGGTTATTTTAGCTCAACGTAAAGTTTGTTTTTATCTTTGGAAGAGTTCTTCTACAGCTGCCTGCTCCTTAGTCAGGATCACTAACAAGTATCAGATTCATTTCTCCCTCCTCAGAGTGATGTGCCTGGTGTCATTCCAGCAAGGCAGGAGACTAGCAGTTCTGGCTGCCCAGGTGGGCTTTGCTGGAGTGGTGAGGGAGGCGGCTGGAACCTGGGGAGTACTGCGGACTGGTGGGCACCAGAGAGGCATTGAGCAGGAGAGCAGGCACAGAACCACCCGGCCAGAGGCCACAAGTCGGGGGCTCATGGGCAAGTCCATTCCCGCTCCCTTCCCCCAGGAGGAGGTGCTCACTGCCTTACCCATAGGGACCTGCCCAGCTCTGAGTGCCCCAACCAGAGAGATCAGAGGCCAGCCTCACCCTCTCTTAATGCTCTCAGAAAAATTAGGTAAGGGTCATCACTGTGTGTGCGCCTCAGGTGTGGTAGGAGCAGATGCTCTGGTAGCTGGGGAACCCACGGGGTGCTCTTCTGTCTGATCAGACCCCAAACTCCACAGCAGAACACAGGACCCCTCCCCTGCAGCTGCTCCCACGAGTCCTGCACACAGCCTTCCTTCCTGCGCCCTGAACACCTGCCCCTGAGCGTGCCCGCATCCTCCTTCCCACCTCACTGTCCTATCTAAGGCAGGCACACAGGACTTCCCCACCTTAGACCTTAGAACACGAACCGCTGGCCCATCTTTGGGCATGAGTCTCCTGAGGCTCGGTCCACTCTCTGCTCCGCTGCTGCCCTGTAGCCCTCCTCTCTTGCTCTTGGATGTGTTGCAGGCCTGCCACTCCCCAGCACAGAGCGATGAGGGGGGAGAACATCACCAAGGTGAGCACGTTCGTGCTGCTGGGCTTCCCCACCACACCCGAGCTGCAGTACGTGCTCTTCCTCCTCCTCCTGCTCGCCTACCTCTTCATCCTGGTGGAGAACCTGGCCATCATCCTCACGGTCTGGGCCAGCCCCTCCCTCCACAGGCCCATGTACTACTTTCTGAGCTCCATGTCATCCTTGGAGATCTGGTATGTGTGTGACATCATGCCCAAGATGCTGGACGGCCTCCTCCTTCAGCGGAAACGCATCTCTTTTGTCGGGTGCATGACGCAGCTCTACTTCTTCAGCTCCCTGGTGTGCACAGAGTGTGTGCTCCTGGCCTCCATGGCCTACGACCGCTACGTGGCCATCTGCCACCCCCTGCGCTACCACGTTATCATGACCACGGGGCTGTGCATCCAGCTGGTGGTCTTCTCCTTTGCCTGTGGCTTCACCATCTCTGTGATCAAGGTCTACTTCATCTCTAGTGCCACATTCTGTGGCTCCAATGTCTTGAACCACTTCTTCTGTGACATCTCCCCCGTCCTCAAGTTGGCCTGCACAGACTTCTCCACAGCAGAGCTGGTAGACTTCATCCTGGCCTTCATCATCCTGGTGTTCCCTCTGCTGGCCACTGTGTTGTCCTACGGGCACATCACCCTGGCTGTCCTGCACATCCCCTCAGCTGCTGGCCGTTGGAGAGCCTTCTCCACCTGTGCCTCACACCTCACCGTGGTCACCATTTTCTACATGGCCATGATCTTCATGTATGTCCGGCCCCAGGCCATCGATACACGGAGCTCCAACAAGCTCATCTCTGCTGTGTACACTGTCCTCACCCCCATCCTGAACCCCTTGATCTACTGTCTGAGGAATAAGGAATTTAAGGATGCCTTGAAAAAAGCCTTGAGCTGGGGTCAAGATCCACCATAGAGGGGACACCATCTACTCTTCCAGAATAGAATCACAGAATGTACAGTTTCTTTGGTAAGACCATTTGATTTGTTATGAAACTCTTTGCAATTTTGTTTTGCTGCATTTAATTTAAATATTATTTGTGTGTCGAATTTCTCTTTCAGAAAAAAATAGGATTGAAGTTAATATTACAGCCATTGTCTTTGGTGTTGTAATACCATTATTTTCTTTATTTTATATACATACAATGCAGGATTGGAGAGATTTAAGAAATTTTCCTTGCTTTAAAATGACCACACACATTTCAGCAAATGACAAAGCATACCAGGTCATCTGAGATTTTAAAGTTCCCAATAAATTGCAATGTTTTAATAAACTGCAATGTTGAACTCTGTTTGGAACTCAAAATGAGTTCCAAGTGTCTTCAAAGCAAAGTGCATCTGGGAAATTGTAAGGGACCATAGATTGTTGTTTAAACCAAACAATGCATTCAATCCATGTTCCCTGACAGTCCTGGGGGAGCTGCCTCTCCTTTTTTCCTAAATAAACCCCTATCCCATGTCCAGTCAGCTACTAAGAAAATGAAAAGAGTTTTCTTACTGTGCCAATTTGACCTGGTTGAAGCATTACACACAGAGATGTCCA